TGGGATTTATTTGGGTGCTGGAGTGCACAGCTGCTGCAGGGAGGAGGGCGGGAGACAGCACACATCATCAGGTCTCGCCTGTGCTTGGCACAGGTCCCAGCTGTGTGGGAAGGAGCTGAGCAGCTGCGCAACCTTTGTGCTCCTCCATTTCCTCAGGGCCGACCTAATACCTGAGCACAAACGGGATCAGTCCCACAGCAGAGCCACTCAGCACAGGGTTTGCTAGGCTGCAGCAGAGCTCTGGTTAAGTGCCATCTCCTGTCACACCAACCTCCAAATGTGTTCAGTCCTCCTGCAGGCAGATCTGTGGTCGTTTTGCATTACTGCAGCAGGGCAAAGGGGTAGAGGTTATGTGAGGAGTGGACTCCCAGCTTTTCAGTGAGTTATTACTTCGTCACCACAACTTGAATGCTCAGCACGGTGTTTCAAAGTGGAAAAAATCCCTTTGATTGCTTTGCTATCCTCAACAATACAGGGGTGACCTAACCTCCAGCGAGGGTGATCTCCTGCTTCCTACACCGCTGATTATCCCAGACTGCTCGTGTTTGCTAATGAGCTAAGAAGCCTTTTAAGAAGGCAGAGTAGCACTGGGGAAATTACAGATGAAAACATTGCACAGGCAATATTAACACAGAAGAGCGAACACTTAACTGCGACTGTTTTAGAAATGACCAATTGTGGTGGAAATGTGCCTACTTTCAAGGAGTAGTCAGTGCAGCATGTGAATTAAGATAGGCAGAATGAAAATAATTGTCTTCCAAGTCAAGAAGCCATTCACATGTTCAGTAGGATAGTTTTAGCAAAGAGCTAGCAAATTGCTGATTTTTTTTAAATTTTTTTTTAATATCATCAGGCAGTTTTCTAATAGCTGATTTTATTCACTTGTCCACTTCTCATGCAGCAACAGATGGGGAAGCTGGTGCAGTACATCCAGCTTCTACACCAGTGGCCTTCATCCTTAAGACAAAATGGTATAGTGATACAAGTTCATTAACCTGATTTTTCTTTTTGTCAAAAAAGATTTTTCTTTTTTTGACAAAAGGTCCAAGACACTTTCTTTTTTTCTCCTTCAACTTACACTTCTGATAAAATCTCCATGCCTTTAGGACACGAATGGTTTAACACTATAATAATGTAAAGGTCACAATCACAGCAATTTATTTATTAAATTTAAGAGGAATCTTGATTTTTAGAAATGCTCTTAGTGACGTAGTCTTATAAAATTAATAGAAGCATCTGAAACAGTCAGGACCATCATGTCCTTAAGGCATTTGCTCATACTATTAGGTTACTGCTTTTGAAAATGTACTTACGCGGAGTATGTTAAACCATGACAAATACAGTATATAATCTTGTATATAAATCTTCCAAACAGCATAAAGCAAATCCAGGTTATTCTTGAACTTCCCATGTAGCCTGAACAGATGAACTTAGAGCTACCCACTGGGACTGTGAGTTAACAGAAAACTTAAGTCTTAAGCATGTAAATATATACTCAAAGCCTCACTGAGCTAGGTCCTGAAAGCAGTATGTCAGCTGTTCCAGAGAATAACACTTACTCAGTTAAGAGGCTGACATACGCATTTTGGTCCATTACTGTTTTCAAAGAACAATGCCCTGCTTTGTGACACTGTACCAGAAAGCCTTACTGAATCACCACTGTAAGAAACTAACATCTTAGTGATAGGTTGATCAAGAACTCAGTAGTAAAGTCTGGTCTAAGTTGCAAACTGTGAGACACACAAAAAATCTTAAAAATGCTTGAGGGTGTGAGTAATGCAACCCAGCAGGCTGCCCCAAGGTCATGGCAACTCCACCACCTGCATCAGAAAAGGCCCTGAGCAACCTGATATAGCTTTGAAATTAGACCTTCTGTGGGCAGGAGGCTGTACGAGATGATGGTTCTGTGGTTCTCTATTTGAAATCCAGTTAATGACACTACCTTTTCTATTTACTACTCTTGTTACTTTCAGAATTGCTGCTTGCATCTCAGACTAGTGTAGTACATTTTGCAAAATGAACATATGCACAATTTATGTGGTTGGACTGAACTTTATATGCTTAATGCAGAATCTTATGACTAACAGTGAAGTAAATGTCCTTATGATGCACATTTCCTACATTGTTTACTGAGAGGAACACAGCCACAGAACACTAGAACTCACCTCAAGTCTGCTAAAATTTGGTTAAATGATGGCACTGAGCATCCTTAAGTGAAATCTACATGTGTGCTTCTGTGTATGAATGCATAGATGTGCATGCACCCATACTCCACTTGAACTTTACAAGCTCTAGTTAATATTCACAGTGGCCCTGAGACTTGTTAAGGAAAAACTGAGGCATAGAAAAATGATTTTTTCTAAATAAACCAGAAAACAAATAGCAGAGTGAGTGGAATACACTTTACACTTTCTTACCGTAACAGCTATCTAATAGCCTTTCATACATACCTAATGTGAAGGCACATGTGACGCCTTATGAATCACAGGACTGTATGGTCCAGTCATACCTCTAAGGTCCACGAAGCTTAAACAATCGAACATGATGGACTGGAGCACAGTCTCTGTAGTGACAGGGGATCCTGAGACACTGCCTCTTTATAGCTGTGTCAGCTTCTGTGCTTAAGAAGATAAACTGCTGAGCGAGGCATTTTCTTCTGTGCCAGGCTGAGGCTTTTTGTGGCTTTTGCACATTTGTTTCCTCTCGCAAGAACATTGTAAAAAGTAAATTGGACTCTTTGTTGGTACACTTGTCTGTGTACTTCTTTTAGAAGCAAAATTGTAAGTTCCAAGCAAGTCAAGTTATAAACTGTCAAGCTGAAAATAGACACTGATTTGGTTTCCTTCCTATTTGTGCTAAGTAAAAAGCATCAACATGAATTAAAGAATTGTTAATGGATATTCCTGGCTAGTGACTGGTTATGGCCTTCTTAATCCTCATCATTTTAGTAGCTGAGCTGTGCCTAGCTGGTCTTCTGGACTTTCATTCATAGTCAAAATAGAAAATGGCAATCCTTCTTTCCTCTCCTCTATGTACTTAATGCAGCTCACAAAGTAACAGCCTGTAATGAGAAGGCTCCCATGAAAGACAAGTTAATGTGGTATCTTCACCTTTGACTTAAACAGATTTTATGCTCTAGTCTGTAATGTACTGATTCATTTTTAATTTCTGAAAATCTTAAGTAATACAGGATGTCTTTCTGCCTGCTTATTATTCCTTGTTCCTCTCTCCCAACAGATGGATGAGGCATTGTACGCTGCCCTCAGAAAGAGGCTGGAGTCTTTCCACAGGCACCAGACTCTCTGACAGGGACTCAATATTCAAAGAGTACTTAAGGATGTTGCTGCAGGCCTTCTGGAAGCCTCCCAGACTTTCTGCAGGTTTTTTTTTGTTGCCCTACCTTTTGCAACATGAGCAGTAGAGTCTGTGCATGTCTTGCTTGTGTTCTTGGATTTACCCTGATGACTATGGATTTGGGTAGGTTCTTTTCTGAGACCTATGGTCAACACAAAAGAGATTGAAAGTTTATTTGAGGGCATGGGATGACAAAAACAAAACTGGGAGATAGCCCAGACCACCGCACAGTGCACTCACTACTCTGTGGTTACTGCCCACAACAGGTTCTTTGGTACTGGGTAGCTCAGGCTTGCTCATCCTTTGGTTACCCACCTCATACTCCTCTGTAATACAGACCTTGTTTCACAGCATCAAGAGTCTTCCAAGAGAACTAAAAGGAAAGTGCAAGCAAAGGGGAAGACACCACATGTCTAGGTGCACCAGAGGCACTGGAATATTAGTTTCCACATATCAGATGCCTGGCTCAGCCCCATCTCCTGAGGCAGAATGAGAAACTTCACTTCCTCCCTATGGGAAGAACAGAACAGGCTCACTGAAAAGAATAAATTGAATTACACAAGCTGTAGTTATTTCAATTCTTCACTGGTTCATTAGTGTGATTGTTAAGCTGTAAATGACTAGGCTGGCTGCTTGACTTCCTCCCATTCTGAAATAATTTAAAGGAAGATTCATTTTATCAGTTGTCCCTACAGTACCATGTAAAAAAGTGCCACATAGTGTTTGTTAAATTAACTAACTGCTGCTGAAATGTCAGACAATGAGGAGAAGAACAAAATAAATGTCAGGTCTAATTATTATTGCTGATTTATTTCACATCTGCTTGCAGGAGCCATACTCCGAAGCGGATCCTTTTAAGTGCTGAACGCTGGATGAAAGAGTTGGCATAGCTCCTAGTGAAAGTCATGGCAGAGTAAACTACGTATGTACATTGAGCACTAAGCAGTCTCCTGCTAGAGATTCTTGCTGGTCAACAAGGGACCTTCAGGTAGCATCAACTAACTGGGAATGCTTGTTGCTTGAATGTGACCTTTGAATTACAAAGACATGCTAACAAAACGTTAGTCTTTAGCGGTTGGTGGCTATTTGTATCTGGCCCCAAAGATGGTGAGAAAATGGCTTTTTTGAATGGTTTGCCTCTCAAGTGGGTGCATTGTATCAAATACTGAAATGCAGTTCTCATTACAGCATTTGAATTATGCTCTCTGTAAATAAGCAGATTTACAGCTTTTCTTTCTCTTTGTTCACATACATAAACTGTACCAGCAGTGGAAGCTGGCAAAGAAGGGGCTAGGAAGAGCTGGCTATTTCTCTATGTGTAGGACATTTTACAATCTGGTAGCTATTCACTTGATTCAAGCAATTGTTCGAACTCTGTTTCTGAGGCAAGATAATAGATTGGTATGTTACAGAATTGCCAGATCTTACCTGGTAGCAGCAACTTTGTAATGTGTAGGGATCACAACCAACAACTTACACATAAACTCTACAGACACCATCACACCCTCCAGTTAACTTTGTCCTGCTCTTCAACCAAGAAATCTGCAGGGGAGTGTTGGACGTTGTTCAATCAAAGAATAACCAATGTTTCTTATTGGAAAACCAGAATGACCGAGTTGCTCCTGCATCAGTAATTGCACACGTAATTGTAATTTTTGCACTGAAGCTTTATTAAGCATCATTTTTTAAAAAAAAGATTCATGGGGTGAACTTCTTTCACCACTAGAGGGACGAACTGAAAGTTAGAAAGTCACAGTGTTTTGTCACTTCCACAGTGGGAATGCTTTCACCAGGAAGTAAACAAGTTTCAAGCCTCACTTAACTTGCAGGCTGCAAGAGCCTGAAGTGGATACACATACTGAAGTATAAAGTTCTTGAGCTATTTATTTCAGATGATGCTGGAACTGGAGAAAAATACTTTGTAATTTATTTGATTCTGCTAATCCTTTGTGGAGATTACATTTTCCAGTGACATTACACCATGCAACATCATTGCCGCTTTAGGGAGACAAATCAAGTTCTCGAAGCACAAAGTTTTTTAGCCACTGAGAAGCTATGCTTCTACCTTGGTAAAGTTTTCTTTACCTGGCAAGTTAAAGCTGCAAAAATATGATTCAAAGATCACAAGGGAAAACCCCACTGAAACAAGTGAACTAGTGCCAACCAACACACATAACAAAGAAATGGAAAACTGCATCATGTGATAGACACAAACTTAAACTTTGCTGCCAACGACTGGAGTGCTCAGATGACTGGGCCTAGACCATTCTCTGCAAAGATGGCATGAATATTTACTACTGCCTGCCTTCCATTTCATCCACCACAGAATTCTCACTTACAGGGATAATATTTACCTCCATTTTCAGGATTAAAAAAAAAAAAAAAGAAGTATATTATCAAAAGAGCAATATTTTGCAAGGTTGACCAATTCTTTTGTTCCTTCAATATTCACACATATCACAGAATCACAGGATCCTGCTCAAACTGCTGGGGACCTGGGGAGTTGTCCAGTCACTCCCCTGCAGTGAGCAGGCTCTGCCATGGGCTCAGGATAGCTCAGGGCTTTACCCAGCTGGGCCTTGAAACCCCACAGGCTGGAGAAGGCCCACATTCCCTTTGCCCTGTCTCTACTGCAGGGCTGTCCTGGGCCAAAGCCTTTTCCTTAGCTCCAGACTTATCCTCTCAGGCTTTAGCTTGTGCCTCCGCCTCTCGCACCCCACTCCCCCTCCCCACTGCTGTGAAATGTCCAGCTGAGTCTCCTCCATCCCTTCCTGTTGCTGCCAGGGATATGCTGCTGGGTGCCACCAAAGCTGTCCCTTCTCCAAGCTAGACCAGCCCTGGTCACACAGACTTTCTTTCCACCCCAAGGGCTCCAGTCCAGGACCATCCTGCTGCCTTAATTTGGCCATGTTTATCAATATCCTTTCTTTGTTGGAGGCCCAGCATAAGTGACCAGATGTAGTCAGATGAGCACTGAGTGGACAATCCCTGCCCTTCCCTGGACTGCTCACACACCATCATTGTCACTGCTGATCCTTGCTGCTGCCTGATCCCAGCCTGCATCCCTGCAAGGCTCTGCCTTCCAGTGCAGAGCTTAGCTTTTGCCCATGGCAGACTTCATTGCACCTGTCAGCCCCTTCCTTCTACCTAAGCAAGTCCCACTAGAACAGCAACTCTGCCCTTGTGTGTATTCAGTGGTTCTGCCCCTAACACCTATTTATCCTCCATGTGCTTCTCAGAGTTCCTGATAAAAATGTTGGACTGCACTGACTCCAGGATAGACCTCATGGTACCTCATTTGTTACCCACCTCCAGGTGGAACCCAACCCCTTGAGCACAACCCTCAGTTCTCAAGTTTTTACCCATATTATTGTCCTCCAATGCAGGCTGTAACATCCCAATTTGGACAGAAGAATATTGAGAAAGTGTTGAACGTCTAAGGGCAAATATAAGGGTTGATCACGCACTAGTACCTCCATGCAGTGTGTGTGGAGTTGCATCCATTAAGTTTTACTACAGTGGTAACAGTACCCTGGCATGAGGGGAAAGCCCAAATTAAGAACATAAAGACTATTCCTTAACCACCCCTCACTAAATAAGTTACTTATATTTCTAAGTCCCCATGAGACATAGCCTTCTAAGCACATTTGCAATCCAGGCCTGAGAGGAATGAACAATCTCTTAAAGCACATACTCTACTGTTGAGTTCATGAGCTAAAAACTGCAACCACAACACATTACGCAATGTACCAAATCACAGGCTACCTTTCTTTAACTAGAAAGTCTAAGTCTTAATTTAAATGGATGGGTAAGTTTTCATATATTTAAGCCCCCCCCAAATGAGTAAGTTGCTCAAACAGAACCATCACTGCTCACTTGCAAACATCCACAAAAGGGACCTTACAGCCTGCAGCACTGCTTCTAGACTGTTACGGTGTTCGCTGTATTCAGTGCTCAGCCTTTCCAAGAGCTCTTTCAAGAATAAATACTTTCCACCGGAGGAAACAACTGTTCTAAATGTTAAGTTAATCCTTTCAGGTTACTGTCCAACAATTTGTTTTAAATCTATGCACTGTCAGTACAGTAAAATATTTCCATGTATTTGAATTTTGACTCCAAGAAAGCATATCTAGAGAAGGTGGGGAAAAAAAAACAACAACCTCCTTAGCTTTAATACAGAGCATATCGCCACAGCAAAAAAATATATTTGGTTTTACCTGTCACTTGTCTTGATTTAATGCATGGTGTTTCCTATGTTCAAACAATTCATTATAGACCAGAGAGTGTCTTAGTTAAATTAGCCTTCAGTAGGCTGTCCAGATTGTAGTGCTCGGTTTTTTTTCCATATATGATATGAAGCACTTTCCATGGCTTGACAGAGGCGTGTTAAGTGTCCTGACTAGGGCTGTGCAGGACAAATTAAAACAAACATCCTTTCCACAGTCTTCATTTTCAATGTTCAGCAGCCTACATATTCAGCAACTGTGATTTCACAGCCTCTCTGTCCCTTTCCTGCTCTTAAAGACCTTTTTCATTTAGTATGGGCAAATTGTGAAGCTTTTTCTGAGAAAAAATAAGCAGAAAACACCAAGCCAGGAATATACTGACTTCTGCACTTCACAGACCTCTTCAACCACCTTCTTCCAGTAAGTGACAATACTAAACCCTGCTGTGAGGCAGCTTAAAGGAAGAATGGGAGCATGTTTCTTCATAGGTATGATGTGGCGTATCTACAGAAAGTAGTGGCAGGCTTTCACTTGCATCCAAGATAATAGAATGAAGAGTGCATCTGCAAGCTTTTTCCTTTATCTGAGGTCTCCCATCCCATTTCTTTTAGCTTGAGTTCTTGTCTCTGTCCCTTTTCCTAAACTAGCAAGATTCAGCGCTTACATGAAAAATAGATAAACAGATCTTCATTGTTTCAGCAGAGACCTGATAGCAAGAAAAAAAGAAAAAGTATGTCCATTAAAAATGTAAGCAAATACAAGTTGGGTTGGGAAAAGGCACACTGCAGCTACCTGTAGCAGAATGAGGGACAGAAGGGGAAGAAGTGAATCACATGAGAAACTTCAATTCCCTTATGTTCATTTTCCTCTGTTTTTGTTGGCACTGTAGATATTTCAAATTATTGCTCAAAGACAGATCAAATAGGAGGCAGAAAAAATGTGGGAGCAAAGGGACAGCATTAAGAGAAATCTGAATATTTGTAAGGGAGAGAAAAAGCCAGTTGCAAAACTAGCTGTGTGCTCACATTCGTTAGCAGATGCAGAACAGAAATATGCAGTATTTAGAACCAGAGGGCTTTTCATTCAGCTTGGAAACAAAAATTATGCCATTACCTTGAATACTACTTCAATAACCAGCTAAAGCCATATTTATGTGTCTATTAGTAGCAAATTCTTCAAGAGGAATACACAGCCATCTGAACAGTGAAACCTGAACAAACAAGATATTAATGTCCCATTGCTCTGGGAGCCCATGAGACCGCAAGCAGAGCAGATGAGACGATGATGATCTCACGATCTCCGAGACTTCACTTAGTGGTCACAGTACAGTCACAGGCTGCTGCTACAGTAATGTTCAGTACTGCTATGCCACCTTCACTAGATGCCAAGACAGACACATGACAGATCAATAAAACAGAGTTAAACAGTTGCAGATGGCAAGGGAAAAAATTTGTTCAAATAGTAAGGCATTTGTCTATGCAAGTTGGAACTGTTTCTACAGAAGGAATCCCTGACTCCTCTCCAAGCCTGCTGCGGAAGTGAACAACAATTTTGTAATACAAAAATGGAGGGGAGGGCAGAATAAACCTAGTGAGATTAAGAACCAAACAATATCGTGAACTAGGTACAGTACATCTTGTATCACCTCCTACTACTGCCTGGTATCTCCCACACCTCCTCCTTCCTGCTATTTGAAGGCATAGAAGTTTTATCTGGTGAAGTATTAAATCTGCTATAGACTACAGAAACTACTTTCGTGTGCCAAGGTGCTATTCTGACAATTATGTTCAGCACATAGGACTAAAGTCAGAAAACAAGTTCCTAGAGACCCCAGTTTCCCCGAGAACTATCTCAGGTTCACAAAATAGATTTAAGTTGCTAATTAAACTGAATTATAGCCTTGGGAAGAAGTGTCAGTATCAGTCTACTCCACATGCCCTTTGGTATGATACTAGTGACAGCAATGAACTTCAGCAAAAAAAAAAAAAAAAACACCAAAAAAACAAAACCAGAGCCGTTTATCTTCTGTACAGAGACTGAAAAAGCAGAGCATTTTGCCTGTACATAGCTGACATGCAAATTTAAAACCAACAAGCTGAACGACAATTATGTTTTCTCACATTTCAACACAAATACCTTGTAGCATCCCAAGTTTAACATATAACTGAAAAAATCTAATTCTATCCCATAACTAATAATCCTTCCATATTAGGCTGATATGAAAGCACTTTATCCCAGAAAGTACTCAGCAAAATATAGTACTCTTGGCCAGAACTTTAGAGTTCTGCCTACATTCTAATCTTCATAAGACATTTTAGTCCACATGCATTCCAGATACTGAAAATGTTTACAGCCAGACAAGAGTTGCCAGAGATAGCTGGCTAGAAGCTTCAACTCCCCAGAGAGTAGCAAGCTTGCAAGAAACTATTTCTTTAAACCTTCAGAAGCTGACAGCTGTCCTCATCTGTCAAGAAAGAAATCCACAGTACACAGAAGACCATTAAGAAAGCAGACTTCAACTGTAACTGCAAGGATAACTTGCACTAGAACCAAGCCTAGGAACTGACTCAAGTTCTGACAAGATCTTTATTGTTACTATTTTAGAGACATGATTGATTAAGAGTGATTTAACAAATCATCACTAAAGCATAGGCTGGAGATTTTCACGTCCTGCAAACTACGTAGCTTTGAACCTGCATCCTTTCTTCTTCACCTTGAAGGGGAAGATCAGCAACAGTGAAGTAGCACCTCCTTCTACAGTAGTTACAGGGTGGCAATGCGAGGCCAAGATCCCAGTGTCAGGGGAAGAAACTGCAACTTTATCCCAGAAAAATTATTTGTCATTAAAGAAACTATTAAGGGTTAGGGAAACTACACTGTACTTAGTTGGAGACTAAAAAGTATTTACACCATAAAAATCAAAAGCTTTTTCTTTTTTTACTCCAAACTTGATCACCCAGCAAAATGCCTGAAGACATCAGAACCTGTAAGTTAATTCAATCCTAATGAATGAACTATGCTTGCGTAGAGGGTAAGAAACATACTTGATGCTACTAAAATTAACATTCAGGTAGTATAGTACCAAGTAATTACCATCAAGATGAACATCACCTTCCTGGATCCAGAAGAGTTGTACAATTTATTTTTCACTCTTACAGTCACCCAAGAGAAAGACTCCAGGTACAGTATTCCTAGAGCCATTACAATGGAGTAAGTTTCCCCAGGGAAGGGGACATTAGCTCATTCATGCTTATTGCAGGGGACTTCTGTCATTACACAGGTAGCAATAGGGGTTTTTCAGACAAGAAATCCAGGAGCAGGCTGCCAAGTCACAGCTCTGCTCTTCCTTTGTAAAGGTGGAACAGCCACTAAGATCCAACTTACATTGGCATGGTAATGAAGAACAGCTACTAACAGCTTGGTATCACCATGGGCTTGTGCACAACATCCTTTCCAAGGACCCTACACTTACATGGCAGACAATGCTTTGGCCTGTCTCCATGTAGCATCTGTCAGTGCTACTTCCTAACAGCTTGCTATAGTGTTTGAATATTTTTAGCCATAGTCAGTCCTCACTTAGGAAGTCCAGCTGTACTCCTGTGAAAGGCGACCCACCAATCCAGTACCCTGCCGAGTATTACTCTCACAAATACATTACAAACAGGTACCTGGCAGGTCAGTACTGTCTTAGCAATCTTGAGTACTGCTGAAATAAATTACAACAAACTTCATGCGCTGGCTGGAAGTAGTAGTGTAGCACACTAAATAAGGAGATACTGTAGCACACTATCAGGAGATACTCTATTTAACTTCAGTGCTAATGTAATAATGGAGACCAATACTTGAACTGCTTCATTTTTTATTTTTTTCCCCTTCTCCACATGTAAAATTTATGGTGGTTTCTTAAAGAGCATTCATACTTGTATCTCTCTAAGAGGTAAAAGATTGCTCCAAACATACATACAAAATTACTTATGTTTACAAATTTTTGGCAATCATAGTAACCCGTTTATTCCTATTGCCATTGCCCAAATTATTGGAAAACACAGTGTACAATAAATTTACATTTGAAATACTTCAAAGTGCTTGACAGTGATTTTCCAAGAATAGTATTTACAAGTGGCCTATACACATATGTACAGGTGTTACAAGTTGTGGCTGGAATATGGCTTTCTATGGAAAGTGCTCTATATTTGGTCAGTGGTGTTACTGACTGACCAATCCAAGGGTTACTGATAAAACAGTAACCACCAAAAGCTGAATTGTTGTGGACAGGTATTTACAGAGTTTGTTGTTAAGGTGTATAAAAGTTATTTACATAAGTGTTCCATACATAAAATATCTTCTTTCTTCCAAGAATGGAGGAAGTCTTTCAGCCACAAACCTGGTTACTATCCCCAAAGAGTGTAAAACACAAGTAAACCGGAAGCAATTGCTGATCCAGTGCTCATGCCATGTCATCATCTGTGCTTACAACAGATATCTGTATAAAATAAGTACAAGTTAGCTACTAGTAACAGTTACAAAAGAAATCACTGCTACACTGCAGTTTGAAATGGGCTAGTTCTGCAGGCTATGAGGACATTCAGCACTAATTACTCCATCTCAGGTATAGGACAGTAGTTGCCTACTACAACTTTAAACCTGATTAAAAGGACAAGTTCAGACCATAGAATGGTTTGGGTTGGAAAGATCACCCAATAAAATCCCCTGCCATTGGCAATGGCACCTTCCACTAGAGCAGGTTGCTCAAATCATCATCCAACCTGGCCTTGAACACTTCCAGAGATGGGGCAGCCACAGATTCTCTGGACAACCTGTGCCAGTGCCTCACCACCCTCACAGTAAAGAATTTTTTCCGTATATCTAAGTTTACCCTCTTTCAGTTTAAAGCCATTACCTCTTGTCCTATCACTACATGCTCTTTCAAAAAGTCCCTCTCCAGCTTTCTTGCTGGAACCCTACAAGTTCTCCACTGGAGCAAGCAGCCTTCAAGAGCAGAGACTTCTCCTGAACTCAAGTCAGGTATCATTTGGCAGTCTTTATGTCTGCTCTGAGGATTAACCTGGAGTCTCAGACATGTCAATAGGTCTACTTACTGCAGGGTAGGTG